TTTATTATTATTATTATCATCATCGTTAAAAATTACCTGGAAAAATAAACTTTAAACATATGTGTCACGTGTTTTAGTTTTAACCTTCAAAATTCCAGCGGAGGAAAAAAAAAACAAACAAACGCGATTGGCTTCTCGAGTTTTCAACGCAATTCGATATAAATTTTTTTTTTTTTATAGAGCGTTTTTTTTATTCGTTTAATTTTATAGACTATAAAAAAACTATATTAAAAAAAAGGAAAAAGGAAAATTCGATAGAGTCGTAACGCGGCGTTTAATAAACGCAAACCATTTATGGGAATGCCAATACGAAAAATTCTCTCCAGTTTTTTTTTTTTTTTTTTTTTTTTTACGTATCGGGCGTGGTAACAACAACAACAAACAACAAACGAGTTTATGTATATATATTAAAATGTTCCAATTTCGTTTTTTTTTCAAGGATTTTTTCTCTCTCTCTCTCTCTTTAAAATGTGTTACCCGTAGGAAAATTGTGAGTTTTTCCAATCGCACCAGGAAAATTTTATCGTTTTTTTTTTTAAAAATGATTTGGAGAGAGAGAGAGAGAGAAAAAAAGAAAACCTTGAAATTATTATCATCATCATTATCATCATCGTAACTAATTTTTTTTTTTTTCAATCGTTGGCAATTGTGATTTGATTAAAAAAAAAACAAGCGAAAAACATGGCGGTAACGTGAGAAAGAGAAAGAGAGAAATTTGTATTCTGTCGTTTGTTGGAGATGGAAAGTTTTCGCTTAATGACGTCACTTCCACAAATTTCCCTACCACCTCCTTCCTTCCGCCCCTTCAGTGCAACAACTTCCCTTCCCGAGTCGATGTTTGAATCATCCCGTTTGAATGAGAGAGAGAAAAAAAATAATAATAATCGCGATGAACACTTTCACACGTTGTTTGCTTGTTTGTTTCGCGTTGTTTGTAGCTGTTATTACGACTGGAAACAGCAAAAAAAAATGATTAGAAACCGATGGTAACAAGGCTAGTCGTCGTTAACCATCCTCTAGGCAATAATAATGAAAGTGGCAGATAACAAACAACATTCTACAACTTTTGCCGCTCTTATTATTTCTAAATATGTATACAACTAGCAAAGGTCTCGCGAGTCTCTGACGTCATAACAAACAATGACCCTTAAGCCATTTTTCGCGTTGTTACAAAACAAATACGATTTTCCATCTCTCTCTCTCTCCCCTCTCTCTCTTTTCGTATTAAATACGTTCCATAATTATTGAAGATTAAAAAGAGGTTATTGGTCTGTTTTTTTTTTCTACTCTCATAGTATTAAATAATAATAATGATAATAAAATTGTGTAATTTTTTTTTAATTAATTATATGGCGATTGATGAGAGAGAGAGAGAGAGTGATTTTTTTAATAAAAATTAAATATTTATAAGTTCGCGGAGGTCATAAACGTTCGATCGAACCTTACGTATCCGTTTTTAAAATCGTTATTACCTGACAAGACATGAAAAAAAGTTATACAACAAACGGTAAAAAACACGAAAAAATTGTTTGTCTTGTTTGTTGTTGTTGTTGTTGTTATAAAATAAATAATATTTAATTCGATATGAAAAAATTATGAAAGGAAATGTGTTTTTACTTTTGCCACTACGAATAAACTTTTACGATTAAAATAAATGTTTTTTCTTTTTAAAAAGTCGTGGCATTAATCGAGATAAAAAAAAAAAAAAAAACGCGGGGAAAATTTAATTTTAGTGTTTTTTTAATTTCACTTCCTTTCGATATCGATCGATTAATCGAGTTTGTCGTTGAATTTTTTTTTCTAACCACTAAAATAAATTTACAGCAAATTTGATTTTTTTTGCTAAAAAAAAAAAAATTTGCAACAAATGGAAAAAAAAAAAACAATTTACTAGTGACACGTTTAATTTTTTTCTATTCGATTGTTGTCGTCGTTTGAATTTTTTTTTTTTTAAAGGTTTTTGATCCGTAAAATGTTTTTTAACCTTCCTTAAAGTTTTTCTTTCGTCATTTTTGTGTTTTTTGTGTTTTTTGCGTTTGTTGCGTTTGTTGTGGTTCTCCCCAAAAAAAAAAAAAAAAACATTTTTCATTTTTTTTTCTTTTCTTTTATTGAAATTTAAAAAAAGTTTTACAAGAAAAAAAGTAAAATAACGGGCGAAATTAACGATTTTTTTTTTTTTTGACGTGTAACAAGAAAGGATTAAACGTGGAAATTTGATTCATCACTGGTAACGGGACTTTAGATAGAAAAACTTTAGTCACGATTCGTGTCACTCATTAAATGTACATTTAGCTAATCATGTCGCGTGAACCTTCTTTCTTCCTTTTCTCCAGAAGAGTTTAAATATTCGAAATTTGAAAATTTTGGAGGGAGAGAGAGAGAGAAAAAAAAAATTTTTTGTATCGACGTGTCAATGAACGACGACGAAGACGTTTACTGCCACTTTAATTATTATTATTATTATTATTATTATTTAATAAATAAGCAGATGAAATGATCTAAATGAAATCAATAAAAGGTTATTGTGTGTGTGTGTGTGTGTGTGTTCGAACCCGAAATCCTTGATCTTTTTCCAGAAATTTTTTCACTCTGGAGAAATCCATTAATGCCTCCCCCCTCTCCCTCTTTTTTTACGAACGTGAAAAATAATTTTTTTTTCTTTTTTTTTTTGTTCCAGGTAAGCAAAAAAAATTAATAGAAAAAAGAATCCAGAAAATTTTTAGATCTCGTTCAGGTAGAAAAGAGTAAATAAAATTTCCAGTAGGTAAAAGGTAAGATTGTTTGATTCGTTTGGGGTTGTTTTGGTGGGCCCGAGTTCGGATCTCGTCTTCCCCCCCTTATTTTTCTGGAATGAATCGAAAGAGTGTTCCCGTACGTTCCTGGAGGATTTTTTTTTTTAAATTCTGGAAAGGAAAATTTTAAAAAAAAAATTAAAAAATTACGCGCGCGAGAAAAAAGAAAATTTTATTATAACGACAAATGAAAAATTTTATATTACGTCATCATCGATAATACTAATCGATATTTTTCGATATACGACTCTCGAAAAAGTAAAAAAAGATGGACGACGAAATGAGAGAGAGGGGGGAGAGAGAGAAAATTATTAAAAACACGTTTACATGCAATTTATTTGCAGAGGAGAATTTAAATGCATTATTTAATAAAATGACTAAATTGTTTTGAAGGTCATCAAACCGATGGTCGGCCATTTTTTGTTTAATTTTTATGACGTCATTTCCGTAATTTCTCACGTTTGAAATTTTCTTTTTCTCCTTCTGACGACGAGACGAGAGATAGAGAAGCAATTCAATTTTTTTTTTTATTCTTTATTGTTATTTTTCTTTTTTTTTTTCTTCATCTTCTGCTGTTCCTTATGTCTCCCTCGTTTGTTGCGTTTGTCCGTGCGCGTGTACGTACGCGTACGTGCAATAATTTAAAGAAAATTTCTCGTGGGATTTATTTGAAATTTTTTTTTCTTTAAAAAAAGGGTAACTAATAAACAGTAACCAATTTAACATTTTGTTTTTAAAAAAAATTTTTTTTTTTTTGCTATAGTTCAAGGTTTGAATTTATTCCAGTCAATTTAATTTTTTTTTTTTTTTTGGTCGTTTTAAACTTTGCTGGAATTACACAACTTTTTTTTTCCATTATGAAAATTATTTCGATGCTTCTGGAATTACGAGAAAGAGAGAGAGAGAATGACATTCTTTTTTTTTTTTTTTTTTTTTGGGAAATTAAAAAACGATTAAATGTCGATCGATTCGATTATGTTAAAATGGCGTCCGACGTGTCGTAATAATAAACCGTTGCTTTAAACTCGTCGCCATTTTTAATTTGTCGCGGGAAAAAAACAAACTTTAAACCCACTCTCCTCTCCCCCTCTTCCCTTCGTAATTTTCGATTTTTCATTCGATCCGAAATTATCGATCGATTAATTTTCTTCATGTTTACTTCGATCATTTTTCTTTCCAGTTTTTTTGGTGGTTGTCGTTGTTGTCGTTGTTGTTGTTGTTGTTGTTGTTGTTGTTGTTGTTGTTGCTGTTGTTGTTGTTGCTGTTGTTGGTATGGATGATTGTAGCGTTCGACGATCATGTTATTAATTCAATCACGTGATTCGGTTAAATTTCAATTGTCATCGAGTCTGATTATGTTTGCACTTTGTAACGTCGTGTAAAACAAACGAACGGATGGACGGACGTACGAACAAACAAACAAACAAGATGATTTTCGTTTTTTTGTTGTTATCAATTTAACTGATATGATTTTTATAGGTTTAGTAACAAAAAATTATTTGTGTTTGTAACTGTAGACAACGCCATTTTGTTTCTTTCGAAGTAAAAAAAAAACTTACAAAAAAATATGAAAACAAAATTTTAATGTTTGCACACGCGACTTTGTGATTATTATTATTATTATTATTATTATTATTACGTTTTATGCAATTATTCATAAAAAAAAAAAAAAGAAAAAAGATCAAAGGTTAAGTTTATAAATAAAACAACATGGCGGCGGATTTATCCTTATGTTGTGTGAGACCATTATTATGAATAATAATTGATTTAATTTTGTTGCTGCTGTTGTCGCTTTTGTTTGTTGTTGTCTGCGTGTACGTACGTGCGTTCGTTTGTAGTATGTAAACGTCGTCTGCCTTTTATCATTTTTTAGAATTAATTTATTTAATAGATTAAAATAAGAGTTTTAAGAGTGGGAAAGCAAAGAAAAAAAGGATAGATAAGTTAATGTTTTTTTTGCTGCAGTGCGTGTGCAGAATTTTTTAGTTCGATTAAAGTAGCAAATTATTTGATTATCAGCAAAATTTTTTGTTGTTGTAAATCGTTTCGTTTGTTGTTGTTGTTGTTAACGTTTTATTATTAAAAGAAGGAGTAGTAAAAGGAGAGAAAATGTCAAAATTAAAAATAATTTTTTTTTTAACCGTTTTAACATTTTGCTGTTGCGAAGTTAACGGTAGCAAATTGAAATGTTCATCGAGTCCCGTGGACATGCCAAAAGAATGGATAACGATGACGAGACCCTGCGTTGAAAAAATGAAAGAACAATTTCATGCAGAACTCGAAGCTTCCATGACGTATCTAGCCATGGGTGCACATTTTCACAAGGATTCGATAAATCGTTTGGGATTTTCTAAATATTTTTTCGAAAGCGCGTCGGAAGAACGAGAACACGCCATTCGAATTCTAGAATATTTGAGCATGAGAGGAGAATTGAAAGAAAACATCGGCGAACTTTTACGAACGTTCCCGATGCCGAAAAAGACATCTTGGTCGAACGCTTTGGAAGCACTGAAAGATGCTCTCGCTTTGGAAACGGGAGTAACCGAACGGATAAGAAAGATGATAGAGACGTGCGAAAGTTCGCTGAAAGATGGAGAAAATATTAATTATAACGACTACCATCTTGCGGATTATTTGTCTTCTGATTTCTTAGGAGAACAACATAAAGGTCAAAGAGAATTAGCCGGACATATTTCTCGCCTTTCGAAAATGTTAAATCAACATTCTGTCATTGGCGAATATTTATACGATAAAAATCTACAATGAAAAGTTTCTAAGTTGGCAACATTGATTTTTGACTCGTGATTTCCCGATTTGACTCACGGTTTTATAAATAATGATAATTTAAATTTTGTTTTTTTTTTTTTATTTTTTTTTTCTTAATCCTTCTTACTGGAATTTATCGTTTTCTCTCTTTCTTATCAATGTCGTTATCATTTCTTATCATAGAGTATATAAACGTTATCGTGAATTTGTTTTTGATTTTTTTTTTTTTTAAATCCAAATGGAAATTTTTTTTAAATGGTCACTTTTTGTCGTTTTTTTTTTTTTAAATCATTTTTTTTTTTTTACGTGGGTTTTTTAAATTTTTTTTCTTTTTATATAACCTTCGCGTTTGTTTGATTGTTTGTTTGTTTGTTTTAAAAAAAAAAAAAATTTGACCTCCCACAACGTTTGTAATTTTTATTACATTTTACACTAATAATAATAATTTTTTTTTTTTTTTAATTATCGTTAATTGAAATTTTTTTTTTTTTTGTTTTTCACGTTTGTTTGTTTGTCGGTTGTTTAACATTTACAATTACAAACGTTTGTTGTTTGTTGCTTTTTTTTTTAAGTACGAAAAAATTTCCAATTATAAATAAACCCCCACGAGAGAAAAAAAAAAATTAAATAAAGGAAAAATTTAAAAAAAAAAAAATACCGGAAACGAAAAATAATAATAACAACAACAACAAAATTCATCATCATTGTTTGATTGTTTGTCGTTTGTCATTGTCACGCTATTGATTGATAATTAATTTAAAAAAAAAAAAAGAGTCGTAAGTTGTTGTTTGTTAAATAATTAATTTTCTTTCTTTCGTTCGTACGTTTTTATTATTATTATTATTATTTTTTTCTTATATGCATTTGGGTTGTTGTTGTTGTTTTAGTGGTTGTTCAACAATCTTAATAAGTAAAAATTAATTTTTTGTTATTAACAAGTGAATTATTGAGTTGTGATGACAGAAGGCACGAAAACGTAAGCAAAATGAAAAAATAAAAAAAAACATTTTTATTATTATTATTATTGTACGCTTGGAGCGTAGAAATTAATTAGTTTAGTTCAAAGGTTTTGATTGTTTGTTTGTTTGTTTGTTTGCAAATAGTTTTTTTTTTTTTTTTTTGGAGGATTCGATGTTATTTTTGTTTTATATACGCCAGAAGCATTTAAATCGAAAAAAAAAAAAAAATTAATTAATAAAATCTAACGGAAGAAAAATGAAAAGAGAGAGAGAGAGAGAGGGAAAGAGGGAGATGGTTAAAAAGAGAAGATGTACGAAAAGGTCAGAGTCAATAAACTTAAAAAAAAAAAAAATACCGGAAACAGTCGATCAATGTTAATCGTTAATTTAATTTTTCTTTTTCTTTTTTTTTTCTTTTTAACAAAATCATTTCCGAAACTCATTATTAATCTTTTTGTTAACATTTTATTCCCCTTATTATTATTATCATTATTATTATTACGATGGAAAAGATTAAAAAGAGAAAAAAAAATGGCGGATAAAGTTCGGCGGCGTTGGCGGTTTCGTCGTATTCTCAAGTTCAAAATTAAAAAATCTTCACGATTTTTTTTTTTCTTTTTCTCCAGTCGTTAAGTTTTTTTTTTAAAAAAATTTTTTAATACGAATATCGTGAAGTTGAATAGATAATGACGTAAATTTCCCATGATTCGAACGTGGCAGTAGAAAAAGGAAGAAAAATCATTAAATAATAATTTAATTATGAATTTTTAAAGGGCCGTCAGGCGGTCGTTTCTCGAGGTTTTCTCAAACGTAAAATAATTTTATTTGTTTTTTTTCTTTCACTTGATTCACATGGCAAAAGGTTAATGACCCTCCCCTCCCCCACCCGCATAATTTAATCCGTTCATGTGGGTGACCCCATCGAAAAATAATGATAAAAAAAAACAACAACATAATTTTTCGATTTTATGTTACCGCCATTTTAAGTAATTCCGGTTGTAATTTTTTTTTTTTTGTTGTCAATTCGATTTATCGGAGAGGTAAAAAAAAAGGAAACGGAAATAAATTTAAATTTTTTTTTTATTAAACCCACGATCAGGGGTCCTTATAAAACCAAAAAAAAATATAAAATTTTATTTTGCGGGGTTGGCAATCCTGATAAAATTACGAATTTGTTTGAAAAAGAAAAATGACAAAACGCAAAGAAGCAGATAAAAAAATTATTATTATTCTTTCGTGGATTTTATGTTGATATCGATAAAAATAAGGTACGAAGTGGAGTTATCTGGTGACACGACGAAAGTGGTAAAATAAATATCGGGAGTTCAATTACGGCGGATATCCTGGTGATAACAGATAAGACTACCTACCTCACTCACCTGCCGTAATATTTGACTTTACGTAATTAACACGGACTCGAACGTGACCGAATGTCGACGTGGCATTAGATTTTCCTTTTTTTTATTTATTGTTTTCGATTTATTGTCACATTACGTTAATTGTACGCGAATTTAAATTTTTACTATTTTATAAACGTGACTCATTGTCACTATTTTCTCCTCGTCATCATTTTTCTTTTTGGAGTATTGATCGATCTGTCGATAGAAAATGATTCGAAATTTACGAACGTCTATTTGTTTATTAATTTCATTCGATGTTTAACTTATGAGATATGCAATTTTCTTTTGAATTTGTCACGCGGATCCCTCATCCTCCCCTTCCCCTCCCCGTAGGTTATCCTCTTATCACAGTTTAGCGAACCGGTGTTAATAACGAACGAACGAACGACATTTTTTTTTTTTTTTTTTTTATCAAAACCGTTAGTTCATAATAAGTCATAAAAATTTTCCATCCGGTACATCAGGTACACATCGCCCCCTCCTTCCCCTCTTTCTCCTCCCCCTCTCTTTCTCTCTCCTTCTGGAATTCGGGCGTCGTCAAAATGATAATGGTCGGCATTTAATGGTGTATCGATTCGATATGGATATTTCGCCATTTTTCTTTTTGATATTTTCGTCATGACGAAAGTCAAAAAAAATGGTCGTCCTCGAACGACCTCGAAAATTTAAATTTTAATAAATAATACCTATACTAACCGTTCGTACCTGACCATACCTGATTGTTCGCACACGTGTGCGTTCAACGAATCGTAATGAGTTTAAGTTTTTTTTTTTCTTCTCAAAGTTTCTCCATCAAGGTCGTCGTCGTCGTCGTCGTCGTGTATCTAACGATTTTTTTCACGCCGTATACGGATTCTTTCCCCCCTCTCCCCTCGAAGAAGATGTTGAGGCAACAAGACGAATTAGTTTTTTTTTTTAGGTTGAAACATTCAAGGTCGAAAAACTGAGAGTGTCACGCCCGGTATACTTCGTATGAGAAGTCGTTTAATAATTAAAAATAAACAGTCTGCGATCACGATTTTTTTTTTTTTTTTGTGCCACGAACTCATCTTCCTTTTTTATACGATTTGAATTTTTACGTTAAACAAACAAACAAACAAACAAATAAATTTTCACATAAAAGAAAATAGTACAAAATGCGATCGTATGAAAAAAAAAAAAAAAAAGAAATTAGGTTTTGTTTATACGACCTTGATATTGAGCCTTGCACCAAGCAAATTGTTTCTTATGTCAACTAAAACCACGTTTATTTACTAATATATTTGTTTATTATTATTATTATTATTATTACTCGAACGTTATTTTTGATTACGTCACGAGTAAATAATTTTCTTTTTTCACATTTTTAACATTACGGTCAACGTGTTCTTATTTCTTGTTGTTTTTTAATCGAATATGTTTTTGCTGTAAGTAAAAAACTTTTTTTTTTTTTATTAATGGGTCACCCTTGATGCCAGGTACGACCAGGTAGGCTTGACCTCTTTTCTTTTTCATTTTTTTTTTTTTAAATATAAATTATTAATCAGATTAAGAGAGAAAAGTTTTTTCCTATGACCTTTTCAAGGGGATTTCGTATTTTTTTTTTTTTCTGTACGAAAGACAAACACAATTTATAAAATAATGATAATAAAAAAAATTGTTGTTTGTTAAGGACGAAATTTAATATGTTTATTAATTTATGTGTGTAAGAGAGAGAGAGAGAGAGAGAGAGAGAAAGAAAGGAACCGTTCAAGTAATAATAATGATAACGATAATGTTTTTCACGATGGAATTAGAAGGGAAGAAAGAGAAAGGTATAGGAAGGCAAACAAAAACGGAAAATGGTCAAAAAATTGTGTGAGGATATAACAAACAGACAAACGAACAATCATTCAAAGTCAACAAGTTTTATGTTGTACGTGAAAAAATTTTTGTGACAATAAACCCTTTCGATCGAAATTTACTTATTTGTTTGTTTGTTTGTTTGTTTTTAATGTAAAATAAATAAATCGAATGCGGGCAGTTTTTCTTTCTCTCTTTTTTTTTCTCTTTTTTTCTCTCTTTTTTTCTCTTTCTCTATCTCTCTTTTGATTTTATAAAAGAAAAAAAAAATTGGTCGCCGCCGGATGAACGGTTGGATGAACCGAGTCACGCCACGATGGAAAAAAAAACTGTCAGAAATTTTTGTTAGAAGCGAATAATAATAATAATAATGATGATGAAGGAAACGAACGGTTTTGACCTGGGTCGTAGTCGTTACGTTAACGGTTTCAACCGTCGTAATCGATTTTAAATATGGTAATTTCTCTCTCTCTCACTTACTCACTCTTTGCATTGTTTCGAATTTTGAAATTTTTAACGGTTTTAATAATAAAACAATGCTAAATAATAATAATAATAATAATAATAATAATATTGATCGAATTTTCGATTGAATATTTAACACGTTTGTCACAACGCAATAATCATCATCATCATCATCATCATCATTATTATTATCATCACGATAATTTGGTGAATGTTTTTTTTTGCACGTAAATTGAACGTTTGAAATTTGTCAACCGGATTGTTCATGCGTGACAGGCCCGCACGCACGCACACACACACACACACACACACACACTCGATTCGAAACTTAATAATTTACACGCATGCACCATCATCACCATCATCATCATTGTTTTAATTATCATTTCAACGTGTCGAATTCTTATCATTGTCATATATTCCTCTCATGTCGAACTTGTTTTTTTTTTTTTTTTTTTTGTTTCTCTTACTTTGTTACCGTTGAATAAATAATTTGTTAAAAATCAAGTTTTCGATAAATCGTTCGAGATATTTCGATTTATCGTTTAAAAAAAAAAAAACAAGAAAATGGTTTCGTTTTTTAAATTTATTTGTGCCGTGTGAAACTTGTATAAGAAATGTTAACAATTTAAACATTTTTTTTTTTTTTACTCTTATCAACGTTATCATTATCATTAATATTAATATTATTATTATTATTATTATTATTATTATTATTATTATTATCCACCATTAAACACGACAAGGCTACTTGTCGGAGTTTTTAAGTATTTATCCGAGGTTTCTACCCGATTCCTTAGGGACAAATACTCGAATTTCGGTGGTGCCACTTATTATAAGATAGCACCACATCAATTCTTGAAGGTCTTCCTGAGTCCGTCTTTTTCGATGGGAACGATTTGTCTCCTGAACTGGGCTCCGGTGACTAACATCTTTGGAGTGGCCAGGGTCAGAAGCAGTGAAATTCACGTTCTCGTCGAGCTGCCTCAGGTCGACCGTAGAACAAGATTTTGTTTTTGGTTCTTACTTTGTCTTGTTCTCATTTTTTTGCTCTTTTTTTTAAGCCAACAGCACGTGGCGTTCTCAAACGGTCACCCATCCAAGTTTGCACCACGCCCGATGCTGCTTAACTTCGGTGATCGTACGGGAACCGGTGTGACCAGCACGCTATGGCCGTTGGCTTATTATTATTATTATTATTATTATTATTATTACCCCAACATGTTTTTTTTTCACATGTTGTTTCGATGGCGGTTATAATAAGGAAATTTACAGAAAAAAAAAAAACTACCTGATATTGTTTGTTTGAACACCTTTAACACTTTAAAAAGGAGGAAAAAAATAAAAAAAAGAACAATCAATACCCATTGTTTCTCTCTCTTTCTCTCTCTATCTATCTCTCTCTATTTCTGTCTATCTCTCCCTCTCTCTCTCAATTCTTCTCAATTTATAATTAATCCATTGAAAACATCGTGAGAAAAGTTTTTTTTTTCTCTCTCCTAATTACGCGAATAAGTTTTAATTATTTATTTATTTATTGTATTTTATTCATTTTTTTGGAATGTTGGCACTCCTTCACAAGCGAAGCTCCGTCAGGTTCGAAACCTGAAAAAAAAAAAAAAATTAATAATTAATTTAAAAAAATTTTTTTTTTTGGAACGCTCCGCAGAGAGAGAGAGAAAGAAAATGTTTTTATTAATAAATTGATGACGTTATGAATTTATGTGGGTTGTTGTGCGATTGTTGTTTGTTGTTGTTTGTTGTGGTTTTGATTACATCAAATGACGTGATTTATCTGAAACATTATCGGTAATAATTAAACTCGGGTTTATCGAGTGGGTTTTGTAATCGAACTCGAAAGATTTTCGAAAAAGCATCATCATTCATTATTATTATTATTTCTAATGAGAAGACTTACGTCATTTGTAAAGGGGGAAAGAGGGAAGGGAAGAGAAGGGAGGGAGGAGGGAAAGGTGTGTTAAGGTTTTATACTGGTTCGATAATTAATAATAACGAAGGATTTTTTGTTTTTTTTTTTCCAGGAGCAACTCGAAAGCTGCTTTTCTAGCTTTTCGCCGTGAAAAAGAAGTGACAAACTACGAGGGTAGTTACAAGTTGACCGTGTCGCAATCCGGTGAAAGAATCGAAACGACCGGAAATCCAGAAAAAATCCCATTGGAATTAATTAAAATAAAAGATAAATCAAAGGATAATAATAACGTCGTCGCGACGACGATGACGTCGACGATGATGGCGGCGACGACGGATAACAACAATTGCATGTCTTTGGAACCTCCAGATCTCATACCCAAGATAAGCAATTTGAATAGGAAATCATCGAGCGTTCAAGACGTGAGAGACAATCGTTGTAAAAAATACGATTATAATCGTTATAGCAATGATAAATACAGACTCATATCACCGAATAATATTAATAATAATAATAATAATAATAATAATAACGGTGGTGGCGGCGGCGGCGTCGTCGGCGGAAGAATCGGTGGAATGTTTAGTGATAATATATTACAAAACGAATGCGTTAAAATGTCTTTCGGTGTTAGCAACGATGATAAAAATAATACTAAAGACAATTACGATAGCGAAAGAATAATACCCGCGACGACGACGACGATGACGACGACGACGGTCGAATGCGTACGAGCGGTCATAACAAAATTGGAAACGGAACCTCCGGAAAAAAGAAACGTCAACCGTGACGACGAGGACGACGATGATGATGATGGTAATGGTGGCGGTGACGTAAATGAAAAAATCGGGTTCGATAATAATAATAAAATCGATTGGAATGATAAATACGGCGTGTCGATAAGTCTCAGCCGTGCGGAATTGGATAAAGTCAATAAAGAACAAAAAACTCCGCCATGTTTATTTAGAGTTTGTTCGAACGTTGAAAAAAGAATAATAAGTAATAATATTAATAATAATAATAATAATAATAGCAACGAGGTAAAAGTTGAAAGATCGAAATCTCTTAAACTTGTAGAGAGATCTACTAGTTTTGGACGATCCGATACAATGAGGATAATTGGAGAAGTTGAAAGAAGTATTATGGATGGTAAAAATCCAAACCTTTCTGTAAGTGATGCTTCATCGCAAACGGATTTACTAGAAGGAGAAGAAAGAAGAGGAGGAGGAGGAGGAGGAAGAGGAGAAGAAAAGCAACAACAGGAACCCGTTCGCGATGAAGAAACAATAAAAAAAATGGAAGAAGAACTGGAATGTGAAAGACTTTCCAGGGATTTAGCTAGTCAATTGTCACCATCTGATAAATTACAAAGTCTTTTAGGTGAGGAGGGATAAAAACATTTTTTCGGTTTTGACGATTACAAATTTCTCCAGTTTAAAAAATGTTTTTTTGTTTGTTTGTTTGTCCAGTTCCAGATTCAGAAAGGAAAAAACCGACAGATTATGTCGCTGGATTATTTCGTTTGGAACTTTCATCTAAACCTCGTAGGAATTCAATTAATAATAAATCAAATAATAAATCGTTTAACGATGATTACGATGATGATGATAATGATAATGTTGATGATAAGGATTTGGAAACTCCTGGAAATTCTTGTCATTCTCAAGATAATTTAGTCAACGGTGTGACATCCAATCAGTAAGTAGTCAATCCATCACAATGATGATGATGATTTTTTTTTTCTTAAAACTTTTCCAGATATGTCGATATCGTGAAAATCCTCTTTCTCCTCCTCCTCCTCCTACTCCTCCATTTTTTTTTTTAATGGACTGGAACGTAAATGGAAAAACAACAATCACTTTTATCATTATTATTATTATTTTGGGAGAAAAAAAAAACTTTTTTGTCTTCTCCTTAAATCGCGTGCAAATTTTTTTTTTTTTTGATTAATCATAAAAACGAATAAAGAAAACCAAACGGAGAGAGAAAGAAAAAAAAAAGAGAGAGAGAGAGAGAGAGAGAGAGAGAGAGATGGAAAAGAAGAGAAAAAATTTAAAAAAAAATAATAAAAAACGAGTTAAGTCGTATGGGATTATTATTACTTGGGACTTTATTTTTAAATTTTTCTTCCCTCTTTTTCTCTCTCTCTCTCTGTGTTCGTCTCTCTCTCTCTCTCTCTCTCTCTCTCTGTGTTCGTCTCTCTCTCTCTCTCTCTCTCTCTCTCTCTCTGTGTTCTTCTCTTTCTCTCTCTCTTTCTCTGTGAGCGAGACTATCTTATTAGATGTAAACGAGTTATCTCCTTTACTCCTGAGTTCCAGTCAGTGACGACTGACACCTGTGAAGTGTCCAGGAACAGATGATGGTTGCTTATTATTATTATTATTATTATTTTTATGAGTTTTGATGCTTTTTTGTAGGTCCGATGGTGTCAAAATAAATTCGTCGTCACCTTCTTCTTCTTTTCTTATAACGCCAGAGCATAAATCATCAAAGACTTCATCAAATAAATTAACAGAAAATACAGAAAAAAATTCGCGACAGTTACAAAAGAAAAAGGTTTGTTTTTGTTTGTTTGTTTGTAACGTGACAGGATACGAAAGATGACAATGATGATGATGATGATGATGATGAGGTTTTGTTTTTATTAACAGGAGGAATTAATGGCAAGGCTAGATAGAAAACTAGTCGTTTTAAAAGAAGAACAGGAAGCGCTGACGAACGAAAGCACTGCCAACGAAGAATTAGGACTAATAGTTGCAAACACTGTTGCCAAATCGACGAGACCACACGAATTGGCAAAATATCGTCTTCACGTAGAAGAAGTTGGAAAAATAACGAGTCTTCTCTTGGGTTTATCCGGTAGACTCGCAAAAGTTGAAAATTCTCTTTTGGGTCTTCCATCACAACACGACGACAGAGTAATATATATTTATTAATTTTTCTTTCTCCCTCCCTCTCCCCTTTCCCCCCGACGACAAACGACGATGATGATGCTGATTTATGTTTTTTTTTTCTGTAGAAAATACAAGAAAGCAAAAGGGATAAATTACAAGAACAATTAGCGGAAGCAAAACAATTAAAGGAAAATATCGATAAGAGAAGCGATTCGGTAGCGAAAATCCTTGGAAAATACCTGAACGCAGACGAATATGCCGACTACGTTCATTTTATTAGGATGAAAGCCAAATTAATTGTCGACCTGAGAGAAATCTCTGATAAAATATCTCTCGGCGAAGAACAATTGGCAGCCCTGAAGGAAACATTATCGTCATCAAACACTTCATCTTCTTCGTGAACTAGTCTTCTGCATTATTTTCAGTGTTACCAATTTATTAAATGTAAATTTTTAATCTACTTCTTTATTATATGTATATGTCTGTGGTTAATCGTCAGGTTGGCCAACCATTTTTTTTTTTTTTTTAAAATTTCAAAATGGCGGCCGCGTCTCTTCAGAGAACGTTTTTCTTTCTTTCTGTTTTCAATGTTTTCAATGTGGTGGATAATTATTATTATTATTATTTTGTTTTTTTTTAGGTATCAGGTATGGCGAATATATTTTGTTGACTTGAGTGAAATCTTCTCGTATTAAAAGTCGTCATGACGAGAATGACGAGATAATGGGACTCTATACATATATATATATATAAAAGTAGGATTTATTTAATCAATCAATCAATAAATAATTAACAATATGAAAAAATTTGAAATTTTTTTTTGTTTATTTGTTTGTATTAATAATAATAATAATAATAATAATAATTAATTAATTAATAATAATTATAATAATAATAATAGAATAAAATTTCAATTTTTTGTTTTTTTTTTGTTAAAAATCGATCGACTGATCTCGAAAATAAATTATAATAATTTTGTAATCGTAATAATAATAATAATGATGATGATATCGATAAGTTTAATTATTATTATTATTATTAAAAATCGAGCTTAAACTAAGTCTAAATTAAACGATTTATTATTATTTTTTTCGTTTCGAATGTGAATCTTTTTTTTTTTTGTTTAAATAATGAATTAATAATTTGTTTATTCGCAAATCGTTTTAGTTTAATAAATAAATAAATAAATGAAAAATTAATAAGTTTAAAATTTTAATTTTTTAAGTAAATAAATTCAATTAAATCAATTTTAATAATAATAATAATAATTTAAACAAATTTTATTAATAATAAAAAAAGGAAAAAATTATTAAAAATTATTAATTCATTCGTTTTAAAAATTTATTATCATTATTATTAAATTTTATTGTCTTTAGCCGTTGTTGTTGTTGTTGTTGTTGATATTATTCTCTTATCGAATGAATAATTATTATAAAAAAAAATTTATAATATCAAAAGCGATAAGAGTTAAGGTTAAAAATTTTTCTTAATTGTTTAAAAAAATTAAAATCGATTGAAACCCTCTCCCCTCTCTTTCACAAAATTAAAAAGTATTATTATTATTATTATTATTATTATTTTAATTTTTTCTTTTTTGTTTTGAGTATGAAAAAGTAATTTTAATAATTTGATTTAAATAATTTTTCTTTCGTTAGGCACACATCAAAATAAAAATTATACATAATTTATTTAAAATAATTTTATCTATATAATCTTATTAATAAAATTTTAATTTTTTTTTATATAAAAAGGGAAAAGTTTTCGATAATAGTGATAATAATTGAATGAAGTGCATTCATCGATTTGTAATTATTATGCAGTTTCGAGTTCTTTCCATGGATCTTCCATCATTGAATGATGATAATATTGCGATATGTCCAATTTTGATTTATTATCATAATTCTGGGAACAAATAATAATTGCAAAAAACAAATAAATGGAAAAAGTAATAATGAATAAAATTAATTGATACAATGAAAACATACTGAATTTCTAGAATGTGGTGATTTCCAATTTTGACTTTGTCTGTGGGTAGCAGGTGAGTAATTATTGTACCTTCCATGACCTTTAGATGATTGCCATCTGCTATTTTCACCATATGAATTATTTAAATTACTATTAGAAGAATAAGAATTATCAGAATTGCACGTCGAAATCTGCGAATCCGTTTTCGACGATGCAGATAAACTTTGTTCTAATTTAAAATTATAACCCAAAGGCGAACGATACTCCATTTTGAATTTTAACCTAACTTGGTTAAACAACAACAACAGTTTAAATAAAAATAGTTTGTGATTGATTGTTAAATAATATTTATAAAATCAATAGGGTCACAACACTAATTAATTAATTAAAACTCAAAACAAATAACGAATAAATAATAACTCAATCCAAGTTTTGATTATTTAAAACGATTTTATATTCAACAATAATAATAATAAAAACGTTAAAATGTCGTATAAATAAAATAAAAAAATAAAAACCTTTTAAATTGTGAAACTTTTAACGACGATAAAAACATAAAAAAAATTATTATTAACCATTAAAAATTCGTTATTTTTTTAAAATATAAATTTTGAGACGCTAATGCATAAGGTAATCCATAGTTACTTTCGATTAATCGAATATATTTTCGATATTATTTAATTAAAAATCCGATAGGTGTCGTTACCTTACTACGATAAAAACACTACGCGACGGTTTATTTTCTTTTTTTTAAATTTTAATTTAATTAAAAAGGATTTAAAATAAAAACGAAAAAGAAACTCGTTAACGTTTAAATAATTTTTAAAAGTGAATGAATTTATATTGTGCGTTTGTATTAAAAAAAAAAAAAAGAAAAAAACGTTAAATTTTAAAAATCGTTCGAACGATTCTAATTATTTCAAATTTTAATGTTTACCTTACCTACGTAAAAAACAAACGAAGTAAGTTTTTAACAAATCATTTTGAATTCAAAAAAAAAAAAACTAATAAGGAAAAAAAATGTTATCGAAAACATTTAATTCTGTAAGTATACATATATATTTGAATAAATAATTAATAATTTATGTGATGTATTGACGAAGGAACAACCCCGTGGGAAATAAAAAAAACATAACCACAATATAATTAAATAACGTTAAAATGATGACCGGATAAGGTTAGGAACGAAAGAATGAACAAAATGTCGTACTAATTTAATTATATTATCGTCTGTCGTCTATATTGAAAAAATAATTTAATTTACGTTTAGATTTTGTTTATAATAATAATAATATTACGTGACATGTGAAAATAGAAAGAGAGAGAGAGAAGGAGAGAGTGTATGTGGTGTGTGTGCCTGGTCATTTATCATCAATAATGTCGGACATGTTTCCATGTTTTTCATTTTTCCAGGGTAGTAAAAGATTATTAAAAAAAACAATATACGATTTATTAATATTGAAAAAAAGAAATCACGGACGAGATCATAGAGAAACAGTTCACGATACTTTACCATTTCAAATAAAAAACGTACCGAGATTTACGTTAATGTTTACGTTATATTCAGCAATAGGAATCGGTGTCCCATTTTATCAATGGATTGAGGGTGTTAAAAAAATGGGAAAAAAATAATTTTTAAAATTAATTTATATATCTAAAACCACGTTTTTACCGTGGAAGGATAAATAATAATAAAAATTTTTTTTCCCCCGTTTTAATTAAAATTTATTTATTTTTATTATTATTATAATTTAAAAAAAATTTTTTCGTTAGGTTCACACAGGAAAACCTTTCAAATATTTTAATTTTAACAAATTTCCTTTAGGGGTATAAAAACAAAAGAAAAAAAAAGGAAAACTTTTTATAAAAATAATAATAATAATAAAATAATTTAGAGATGAAATCGAAAAAAAAAAGATACCTTATTTAACCCGTAAATGAGAAGAGCAGAAGATAAAAGACCACAACAGCATCCGACCAGCAGAAGAATATTATACACCATCGTAGCTGCGTCAAAAAAAAAAAATTAATTCAATATTCATTATTATTATTATTATTATTTATTTTTTCACTTTAGTTTCGTCGACCCTTTGACCTTTTATTTTATTTTTTTTCGAATTATTATTATTATTATTTTATTTTTTTTTTTAAAAGGAAAATTTATTTAAATAATCGAAAAAATTTTTTTAAATGGCGCCAAAAAAGGCGACAAAAACATAAATTTAATAAATCGATGAATAACATTTTTATAAAAATTTCCCGGGACTTTTTGGCTTCCCCCTTCCCCACATCCTACTCCCTTC